CAGGTTAGGTTCACAGAGTAAGTTGCCATAGTAACTGACTCTGAGTTTAGATTACCTCTCTTTGTGAAACGGGTTTAACTTACCCCGCTTTCACGGGTTTAAGTTACCTCCGTTTCTGAAACCGAAAACTCCGAGTTGCCCTCATTTCGGGGTTAACAAACTCTTGAGTTTCGACAAAACCGCCTTCTTGAAATAGGCCCCTGGAGAAGACCTGTATGGAGGAGTGGGCCAAAATCCCTGCTGCAGTGTGTGCAAACCTGGTCAAGAACTACAGGAAACGTCTGACCTCTGTAATTGTAAACAAAGGTTTTGGTACCAAATATTAAGTTCTGTTTTTCTATTGTATCAAATACTTATTTCATGCAATAAAATGGAAATAAATTAGTTAAAAATCTAACAATGTGATTTTCTGGAATTTTTTTTAGATTCTGTCTCTCACAGTTGAGGTGTACCTACAATGAAAATGACAGATCTGTCCATCCTTTGTAAGTGGGAAAGCTAGAATAATCGGTGGTGTATCAAACACTTATTTGCCCCACTATACACGTTTTTGGATGTTGCAGTGTTGCAAATGGCTTTCATTCTGTGTGTGTTAGTGCATCCATGTTACAGCACAGTGACATTACCTCTGCTGGGAACATCCTCCTGTCTACTGTGTGCTCTGACCCCCACACATTGCTCTCGCCCCAGTGGAAGTGGAACTGACACAGCCTGAATGTATCTTGCAGGGGGCCCCCTTTCAGTGCTGCACCAGAATGTTAAAGGACATGCAAATGAGTGTCACATACATGTTTCACAGTCCTTTTAAAAGAATCAAATACCAGCCCACCAAAAGAATCATACATCTCCAGCTGTTCAGTATTTGTTAATATATGTAGGTGTTTCCTCCTCAAAAAGAGGAAATGATCCCTCTCAAGATGTCTGCTGAAGTCAGGCAGTAACACTGCCTGTAAACCAGTGACTTATAAACTGTTTATTAGTGCCAGTAACACTACCAACATAAGGAATGGGCTCCTCTTTATCTACATTTACAGCATATTATTGTCAAAATAGCAGTTTAAAGGCTGAATCAGCAGTCATGCCTACATCACTCCACTGTTTTAATGTTTATTTTACTGGTAATAAAACCCTGTTTTCCACATCTCTGTTAGAGAACAAAAACGGGTTTATCAGTATGAGACTAAGCCCATAATACAAAGACAGAGCATTTGGCACCTATAATATGGTTAACTTTTAGCTTTAAAACATTGGTATTTTAGCTGAAATAAGGTCTATATATTTGTAAGCACAATGGTTTGGACATTTATATTCAGTGAGTGTAGCCCAGTAAGTATACCAAAATGACCAATAGTTTAAAGCCAGACTGGATAACAGTTGTTGAGGTCACATGACAGTCACAAGATCCTGTGGTAGCTTTCAGAGTAGCACTGATAACTGAATTTTCCTGCAGACTGTGGCCTCTTTAAGTGGGGCTTAAGACGGGGATAATCCTCTTGTGGAGATCGAAACGTGTGTTCCCCCTGCTGCGATTTCCCTCAGTCCTTTCAGATTTAAAGGAAAACTACTGACTTGTACCCAATCTAGTTGTTAATAAGGAACTGATAAGGAAAAAAAAAAAATTTTACTTTCTAGATTTGTACAAGCAATGAAAGGCAACACTGGGTAGTGGAACTCTTTCCAAGATGATATACTGTATATAAAGAAGAGGCGAGAGTACTCACTGGACTTGTCTGTAGTGTCATTATACTCTACCAGGAAGGAATAACCATTGTTCCAGATTTGTTGGCAGGTGTCTGGGTCATAATCAGTGACCAGAGGCTTCAGCTCAGAATCAAAGACACTCTTCCGCACAACAATGTCGATGGGAGACTGATTATCACCTCCTGGTACCACGAGGGGTCCCTGCCACATGGGATGCACTGGAGAAGAGGAGAGAGGCAGAGGAGAAGAAGAAGCAGAGTAAGGAAATTAAGGAAAAACAGTCAGTGATGTTTAAAATTTAAAGTAGTCAGAGTTCCGGCTGTAACACAGAACATTTAAAAAACTGCGGACATCTACTTTTCATATAGGCCTCGGCTGCTTCCTGCATTTTTACAAAGTCCATTTTGAAGTCTCAAGTTGCCTCATAAAAACCAATTCAAAGCTACCCAGAGACACACACAAGCCTTCTTCCCTGAGCGGTTTGAAGAAACTGAATGGAAAAGCAGAAAGCAAGCTATGGCACTTCCTTCTAGTCCTCTTACATTTGTTTTCCTTAGAGGAAATTACAAAATAAGGGAGAAGTGGGCTGGCTGTACAGACAATGACATGTGAAATGCCCTGGCACGCCCCCAGCTCCACTCCATAGCAGTGGAATCAGTCCAGGAAATCTGGCCAGTGGAACTGCCAGCTCAGCTAGTCTGTCAACGGACCTGATTTCCAATTAACTGAAACTCCACTCCCTTTCCCTGCCTCTCTCCTTTTTATTTTGCTTTACTCTTGAATTTTACC